AACGTTCATTTACATTCTTACTATCTTCTACTTGCGCTTGAACAACCACGACAAAATTGCTCACAAACGTCCTCCAGGTATTTATATGATGATCTGTTATTTCTTAATATGGTGTCTCTCTTTTATGACTCTAAAATTTTCATAATGCCTCGCCAGGTCCTCTAGCTCTTCCTGTTATCGGAAACATCCACTTGTTAGGCACTCTTCCTCATCGCAACCTCCAATCTCTGGCCAACAAATATGGACCCATCATGTTGTGTGGCTCGGACAAGTCCCAACCATCGTGGTCTCTTCCTCTGAAGCTGCTGAACTGTTCCTCAAGACTCACGACCCTGCTTTTCGCAGACCGTCCCAGACTCAAGCACTAATTACTTATTTACGGCTCCAAGGGTCTGGTTTTTTCTAAGTATGGTTCATATTGGGTCCACAAATGAAGAAACTAAGTGTCCAACATCTTTTTAGCAGCGCTTCAAATCAAGAGTTGATTTGTCATGTTAGGAGGGCAGGAGATAAGAATGGTGGTGAAGTCACTGGAAATTGCTGCGAAGATGGTGAGATTTGGACATCAGTGAAAAAGTTCATGGGCTTTTAGAAGATATTAGTGTATAAGATTATATTGGGACGGCATAAGGATGGCCAGTTTGATTTGAAGGGGCTCGTTCTGAAGGTTTGAGATTGGCTGGAGCATTTAATCTTGCAGATATTGTGCCTTGGCTAGGAGCATTTGATATCCAGGTATGATGTTTTAAAATCGTATTGTAATATAAGGATTCTATTAATTTCATACCAGAAATTTGGTTCCTAATCACACATTCGTGCGTGCGTTTGGGTAGGCTTCTATAATCTTTCAGATATAAGACGAAACTATTCAAATCTTATTGTTTCAGGGACTTACAAAAAGCTTCAGAAATAAGCAGAGCACTTGACCAATTGTTGGAGAAGATAATAGAAGAGCATGAACAAGCTCCTAACTCATACAAAGATGGGAAACGTGAAGATTTCATTGACATATTATTGTCATTAATGATGCATCAACGGAAGGAGGAGGAGGATGATGAACAAAACTATGAAATTACTCAAGATGACATTAAGGCTGTAGCACTATCTTTGACTGCTGGGGCATACGAAACTTCTGCTGTCGCTATCGAGTGGACTCTATCTGAACTTTTGAGGAATCCTAGGGTGATGAAGAATCTACAAGATGAGCTAGAAACTGTGGTTGGAATGAACAGAATGGTGCAAGAGACAGATTTATCAAAGTTGAATTACTTGAACTTGGTGGTCATGGAGAATTTCAGACTCCATCCCATTGCACCATTCATCCCTCGAGCTTCCACAAAGGATGTTATGGTTGATGGATACTACATAGAGAAAAACGCACGAGTCTTGATAAATTTATGGGCACTAGGACGAGATCCTCGTATATGGTCGGATGATACTGATGTGTTTTATCCAGAAAGGTTCTTGAATAATAGTAACTCAAACAACATTCAAGAATATGATGCTCAACTTCTTTCATTCGGGTCGGGTCGTAGAAAATGTCCGGGAATGCAGATGGGTTTAACTACGGTTAAACTTGTCGCAGCTCAACTTGTGCACTGCTTTAATTGGGAGCTTCCTTTTGGGATGAAACCTGCTGATTTGGACATGACCGAATCATTTGGCCTCTCGTTGACAAGATCTAAGCACTTGTCAGCTGTGCTATCCCATCGCCTTTCTTCCAAGGCATACAATGACTGAAATTCATGTAATATAACCCGAGACCAAGGACATGATGTTAATGTAAATAAATAAATGTTATTGGATCATATTGTATAGTATAGAGATTAGAACATGAATGTCATATGAAAGTGTTTTTTGGTGTTATAATGCCTTAAAATTGGCTCAAGAGTGGCTCGTAAGTCCCTTTTTTTTTTTTAATATTTTTAAATTTTTACAGTATAATATTATATATATATATATACATTAAAAAATACAAATTATAAAATTTAAAAATAATATAAATTTTAATTGTAAAATATAAACATATCTTTAAAGTCTAAATTTAATTTTAAAATTAAAAATATTCCATTGGGTAAAACAAAAAAAAGGTCTAAACGAGGCAGGGTTTAAAAAGCTCAGTTATCCTAAAATTTTTCAATTTTTCAAACTCGAGTTTTGAGAAAACTTAAATGAAAACCTGTCAAACCTAGCTTAAATATTTCTGACTCTATATGTTTAGGGAGACTTTATATATTACATTTTTTTATTTTATCATTTTAGATCAAATTATTTTGAGAATCTCTCGTCATTACACCGACCCCAAAAGCCCAAGTGGCTCCACCCTAAAAAAGAATTAATTTTTCTTGCAAATGGCCTTTTATTTATTGTTGTTGTTGTTGTTGTTCGCCGCGATGCAAGAGCCATTAATTCTAATATTCTATAATTTTTGGTTCAGCCCATTACTAAATTAGATTTCAAGTAGGTCCAACGTTGATTTTACAGCTGGGTTTGGTACAAGGTCTAAATCATGCCGAAAGTCATGGGCTAAATATTTAGGCACTCATTTCTAATCCATTTTATATAATGTGTGTATATATATAATATTGTTTTTGGTCCATAAATAGGGAAAACGCACTCATTTGTTAGCTGTCAGATCGATTCGAAAAGGTCATGAATTAAGGAACGATTTCGTGTTCCATCTCTTATTTTTATGAGTTGATAATTGATCTTAGACATAAGGTTCGTGGGTTTTATTCTCACTCCCAATTAATGATTTTTCATCAAAATCGTGTCCACATTAATGGACCAATTATGTACCCACAAGTGAATTCATTTTAACATTTTATATAGGAACAAATCAATGGGTACTTTATTATTATTTACAAAATGACACCAAAGATAATTTTATAATTTATAATTCTACATAGTTATCTATCAATAATTAGATCAAATTTCTAAAGGCTTGTTAGCTTTTGTTTTCAAAAATAATTTATTGTTTTTAAAAATAATAAATTAATGTTTTGGATAAATATTTTAAATTTAATTTTTTAAAAAATATTCTCATCTTTTATTTCTAAAACAAAAAATAAAAATATCCTAAATTTATTTTTATTTTATAATATATTACATTTGGTTATTAAAAATTACAGTTATCTTAGTTAATAATTAGCACAAGTCATTATCATTAATTTTGGGCGACTATTACTATCAACCAAAATTTTTAATTCTATTTTTTTAAAATTAACATGACCAAAAAAAATTTTTGTTTTAATTTTTTTAAAAAATTTAAATATTATATTGCAAAATAATTTTTTTGGATAAATATTTTAAATTTAATTGCTTTAAAACTATTCTCATTTTTTATTTCTAAAAAAAATATCTTAAATTTATTTTATTTTTATAATATATTACATTTGATTATTGAAAATTACAGTTATCTTAGTTAATAATTACCACAAGTCATTATCATTAATTGTGGGTGACTATTACTACAACCAAAATTTTTAATTTTATTTTTAAAAGTTAAAAAGACTAAAAAAAATTTTTGTTTAAATTTTTTTTAAAAAATTAAAAATTATATTGCAACATAATTTTTAAAAACAAAAAATAAGACAGAAACCAAACAGGCACTTAATTTACACTTAATTCCTATGGCTAAAAGACGGCGCTTTACGAATGAAAATAAAAAAAAAATAAAAGAAAGGAACTCATGCTTGATATTTCAGTGAATCCATATGACACATTCCATATTTTTCGTTATTTTAAGTATTTTCTAATATTCTCAATGCCTTCTTGTATCTTTTGATGTGGGATAATAAAGTTTTAATTGTTCTTAAATTTGTCTTAATTATCAATTTTGTTTCTTAATTTTAATTTTTATTAATTTAATTTCTTACATTTTCTTAAATTATCACCTTAATCTTTTAGTTTTAAAAACATAAATTAGCAGTCAAATTAATCTAGAATGTAAAATATGTTGATAAATTGCCATATCTGTGTAATCAGATGAGAACAAATTAACTTTTAAATTAGTTTAATTTTTATTAATCTATTCCCTAAAATTTCATTTTATTATTTTGATTTTAAAAATTTCTTAGTCTACTTTTTCTATCTACATAAATACACTTCTTTAATTTTCATTAATTTACCTTACTGTCCAATGTCATCATATTTCATTATTTTATTTAGCATATGTACATATTCTTTAAAACCAACAAAAAAAACAATTCAATAGATAGTTGAGACAAATTTAGGGGACCGAAGAGAAACATTACAGGATTATAGGTTAATAAGATTATACTTATTAAATCTTTTACAATTATAATTACTTTTCTAAAATAAAAAATTATTCAAGTCCACACCGAATATATTTTTACAACTCATTCCTACTTCAATTCTATTCTCATTCCATTAAATTTTATTGTGCAGATGCCGAACGTGTATCATACTCCGCCCGTATTAAATTATAAAATATTTTAGATAAAATCTCACATACCAATAAAGCTCATTAAATACATTTTACATCTTTACTTTTTCAAGATAAAAAAAAAAAATTTTAAAAATATCTTTATTTAATACTCTATTAATGAAAAATATTGAAGAGAGAGAATATATGGGAAGAATATTAAAAAAAACTATAATTAATGAAACTTTATTTTTATCAAAGTATCTTATATTTTAAAATGCTGAATTTTTTTAAAAGTATTTTATAATTTAAAACGAAACGAGTACTATACAATCTCAGCCATTCATTTAATTATTATTTTGATTCAAACGATGTGAGATTGGTTAATTATGAAATTAAAATAAATAAATTATTTACTAGTATCACTCTAATGCTTTTGAAAATAAAACCACAATGCTTATCAATGATAACCATTATTAATGAATATTACATTTATTTTTTCATGCTGTAATTAATAAGTTCACACAATTAAACCAAAATAATAGTTAAATGTATATATAGAAAAAATAATTATCATGATCGATCGCTTGAGAACTAATTTTCATTCAAACTTCCATAACATTAAAAATAAAGCCATTAAAGGTTTTTTTTTTGGTAACACACGTGAACGATCTTTTTAAGCACATAAATAAAACAAAGACGTGCACACACCATCTAGAGAACTTGGATTTTGACATGAGATAAAAATTATTAACTCATGATCCACATGTGAAGAAAAAAGCATGAAAGTGATAGTAAAGAAATTACAAGATATAAATCGTACCGTTGTCTTTTCTCAATCGGTCACGGTTTTCCCTTGACGCTTTAAATATTATAATATAATATTATATATAATCAATTCCCTAGCCAATCACTTCAATACACACATAAAGATGGGTGCACCCAATTTTTCAAGTGATCACAATAAATTTTTTTCGTCTTAAAAACATGCATTTGCATATTTGGAATGAAGTTACAATAGATTTTTATATTGATTACTTTAAAGTAAAAAGTCACTTTATAGTGTATCCATCCTGCTATTTATAAATGTTCTAAATTGTTTTTCTTAGATAATTAATTATTGCATTAATTCCTTCTAAATAGTTAAATAAATGGCGGCGGCGACCAAATTGAAGGGATAGTGATGGAAGGTGACCGTTCGATCCTCGCCCGGTGGAAGTTGGACTTTCAATTCTTGTCATCCCCATCGGTTCGGTGTTAGTGGAAGTCGGCTGTTCGATCGCTGTCGGTCCATCCTAATGGAAGTCAGCCATCGGGTTCCTGTCATTGCCATCGGTCCGGTCCCGTTGGAAGTCGGCCATCGAGTCCCTGTCGTTACTGTCAATCCGATCCCTGTAAAAGTCAGCTGTCTCGTCGCGATCAACGATGGCAGTTTGTTTTTGCCAACTTTGGTGGTTCAGTGCAATTACTGTTGGCAGGTCAATCAAGCCTTCATATATTTGGGTCAAATTATAAAAGAGCTTGAGTTAGAATTTGAAATAATAAGAGTTTAGAAAGAATTTTAAATTATAAAGAGATTAAGGAAGAACTTAAATTTAAATTTGTGCTAAATCCAAATCCATACATTTTTAATTATCTAAACCATGGATTTGACTCAAATCAAATCCAAATTCAAATTCAAATCTATATGTATCCAAACATAGCATTAAAGATATTATATTTATGTATGTATAAACATTTTTGTTTTATATATATAACGTATAAAATGACACAAAGTGACACCTCAGACAGGTCCTTTATCAAATATGTATCTTTAATGAATTTGTTAGAAAGTGTAAATCATACATAACATGTGGCAAAATAAGGCACTCTAATAAGCTCGCATTTAGTTCATCACTATACACGCGCGCGCGTACATGACACACGCTCACAAAGAGTCATTTAAGAAGATTCCTCAAGAAGGTTTGGTATTTTCACTTAGGCAAATTAATTTTAGCAATTAAGTAGCAAGCAATATATCAAACACATGCCTAGTATGGAGAGAACTCAAGATTCAATGGTAGATTATTGAGAAGCTTTCTGCGTGTGAGAGTGATTTTAGATCTAAGGAAGCTATAATGACTAGTTTTTTGGATTCCAAAGCTAAATAACAATCATACTTAGGCCTTTATTCATCTGAGAAGTTACAGAGTTACTGTTTCAGATGTCGTAAGATTGGACATGATTTTCGTGGATGTGGTGTGGAGCGTTTAATGTCAATTATTAATCCAAATAAACCTAGATACAGAGCTTGGCTCTCTACTAGTTAAATGAGGACGTGGAAGGAGGCTTTGAGTATATGGGGGATAGTTAGGTGGAGGTTAATCTGAAACGGCAGAGGCGGAGGAATGATATTTCTGGTGGTGT